TTTTCTTAGACTTTTTTTTGTGACCTGCTCAGATGAAAACTGATTGCCGTATGAGGCTGGTAAGCCATGTGCCCAGTATTTATAGCCACACGGCCACGCTGCCCACGCAGCACATGGCTTATCAATAACGAAGGCCGCGCAGTCGGCGCCGACGTTTACTTTGCCGCCATTTCGAGTAGAATTTTCGGCGTTCTGTTTTGATTCGCTTCTGTTTGGTTTTTTTCCGAAATTCTACGCAACTCATGCCAGTTTCACGTATTCCATATGTTTTACTTCGACTCAGGATGACTATTTGTTTGTTTTATGTTGTCTTCGTCTGTTCGCTGGTGTCGCGTAGCGATTTTGTCTACAAATGTTAAATTAAATTCTAGGCAGATACGCCAGTGAAGCAATTTATTTATAATAAAACAAACATCGCGGGCTTTATCGACTGCAAAATACACATTCGAAAGACACAAACGAATGCAAATAAGTAAGAAGGCCCCAGTCGAGACTGCTCGACTAGGAGATACCCTGATCCCTCCAAGCTAATCCATCTGCACTTCTTTCATGCACACATACATACATACACATGCATCCACGCGTACGTACAGCACGCGCTCTGCTGTATATACATATGTATTAGAGGCCTGCATGGGTATACGCGCTTGCGGTCGTCTATACTGATATTCGTAAGTGTTTGAGCATCGCAAGCATTGCTGTAAAACGAAACGAACGGTACGCAAAGTCACCAAGTATTCTGTTTTACTTTACTTCTTACGCTTTGAACAATGTAAAACAAAAACCCATGCAACGAAACGAAACGAAACGAAAAGCGAGTAAAGTGAAAAAAAAATTGTACGGTACTTTTATCGCGCGTTGAGCGCCGTTGCAGAGCAAAAATCAGGCTAGAATTGGCTATATATTAAAATCCTTTAATGGCTAAGTTTATAAAATTAAGTTTATATGAATAAAATTTGGTTACTATTTTTATTTCTAAATAAAAATATGTTTCTGTATTCAATAGTAATATGCCAAATCTAGCTTGAAATAGTCTAAGCTAGCAACACTAGCGGATAGCTAAAACGAAAACAAAACTTGAATGATGCTGTATATTTTCTTTCGTTCGTTGCTTCTTTATTGTACAAGCATTTATGTACCGAACTTTTCGGTATGTAAGCTTAGCTCCTTTTGTTTCGTTCGTCCGTGATGCTTGGGCTTACACTATTTGAAAACAAGTAAGAAGGCTCCAGTCGACACTGCTCGACTAGAGGATACCCTGAACCCTCCAAGTTGATATTCGAATCATTCTGCACTTTTTTTATACACACTATAATAATTTCTTTTGTAGACTTACCATCTTAATGAAACTTTCAGAGCATGTTCATAGAGTTAAAATGTATGTACATTCCAAAGCTTAAGTCTCTTGTACTTGAAATACGTTTTTTTAAATTGGGGGCGAAAGGGGCGTGGTATCCAAAATCTGTATGCGACAAAGAAAAGAAAATATATACTTTATGGGGTCTGCGATCATTCCTTTCATTCATTCATCATTCACCATTTTCCACGCCCTCACATAATATTTATAATATTAAAATTTTTTTTTTTGAATTGGAAATAGTCAACTAAAAATTCTGCGATTTTCTCCCAAATAGTGGAAAATCGATGGCATTTTTTAAATGCCACGCCCCTAAAGGGGAGTACATAATTTTGTTTCTGTGTCAATAAAAAAGCTTCACAGCAACTCAATAAACTTTATGCCCATACCCTCAAAACTTAACATGATATGAATTTATCTATGCCACGCCCCCTTATTCGGCTAATGGAGGTTGTCTAAATATGCCATAAAACATAATTTTATAAAAATTTGTATAAGTTTTATTGAGTCTTTGATTTATAGACTTTAACAGTAACTCCCGTACCAAATATGTATATACAGTTTTACATATCGGGCCTCAACTAGTATTTCCCGATTTGCTGCAATCAAAGTGAACATATTGAGAAAATTTGACCAGCTTGTTAGTTAGATTGGGATCTCTACGTGTATATACTTAAACTTCTTTAGCTTCAAGCTTGTCGAACGAATGAAAAGCCCGACAGACTGTCCGTCTGTCAAGTCTGTATGAGATGTGAATGACTATAACTAGGAGACAACAAATAAGGGCTACAATTGAGATATTCATAAAATTAATAAATATTTAAATTATAAATTGATTCCTTCCCTCAATAATGGCCACACAACTTTTATCTAGCTTACCCTCAAGCTGCTGCTGCTATGCACATAGAGCTTAGTTATTTAGATATACTCGCACATGCATATAATCGATTGCCCGTAAGTCTATTTTGGAAACTAGTTTTCAGTTTGTATAGAATAAGCTATTCATATACGGGTAAATCCATAGCACTAGGCGGCATCGCAAACTAGGTTATACTATAGCAACTATTTGTTCGTTTACTGAACATTTCTATCATTTGACGTACGTAAATTGATCGCACGAATTAAAAAACTAGACACTTTTGTACACCTAAATCTAATTTAAACCTATGATTTAAAAGTAAATGGATATATAAGGGACAGCTATTGTGATCCCAAGTGCATAAATATATATAAAAATAGAACAAATTGATCTTGTAAATTTGTAAATTTAGACTACACTGTACAGGTATAATATCATATGATATAAATATTTTTCAAAAATGGATAAGGCTAGTCTTAGTTTGATTTTATTTTATTCTTTAAACTGGATATTGCTAAAAATGCAGTCGGTTCTTAAAGAAAAAAAATATTGTTAACAACTTCTCAGTTACCACACGCCTATTCCTGTTGCCCAATTGAGATATTTGTTTTCCCAATTTTATAAAATATGCTTGTGTATTTATTGCATTAGAATGATTTGAATAATTTTTGTTTTCAGCCTTATGTGACGATTATTTTTAAATTTTGTTGAGTCTGGTGAATCGAATTTCAATTAGCCGTAGTCGTCTTGAACAGCTTAGATATGCGAATCCCAGTGCTTGGTCCATTCAATGGCTTCCAGGGTACCCAAGTCCACTTTCCAGATGGCGCCATTCTGGTTGGCTTCAATAGCCTTGACAAAGTTCTGGGCGCACTGCAGAGTTGTCTGAGTGGGATGCTCCAGCAGCAGCTCGGCCACACGAGGCTCCACATCCAGCCACGAGTTGAACTTGTGGACCAGAGTTGTCTTCGTGATGCCAGGGTTGATGGAGTAGGCAGTTACACCGGTAATGGGCGCCAGTCTCTATAGAGGAAATTACTTTAGTCACAGCACCCGTCTTATTAAATGGTTTTTCACTTACGGCTAAAGAATTGGTGAAGCTGAGAGCAGCTGCCTTGGATGCGGAGTACACAGGCACCTGGTAGATGGCATTGAAGCCAGTCACCGAGCAGACGTTCGCAATGACACCGCCTGGGCCGCCCTTACGCTTGTCCCAGAAGGACATGATGGCCGTGATGGTGTTCACTGTGCCTGTGAAGTTCACCGCAATGGTACGCTCGATCTGGTGGTCGTCCAGGATGCCTGCTCCATTGATGAGCAGATCGACTGTCTTCAGCTTGTCGAAGATCGTCTTCAATAGCTTTGTGGTCTCTGCTACCGAGACGGTTACATCATAGGGATAGAACGTGACGGTCACCTTGGGGTTGAGTGCCTTCAGCTCGGCAATAGCCGCTGGGTTCTCAATGCGATCAAGGATTACCAGGTTCTAAGGAAGGCAACCAGTTTGTATCGAAGGATTTCTTTCATAGACACCCACTTACCTTTGGTCCCCTCTTGACAATCTCGCGACTGGTGTCGAATCCAATGCCACCGAGTCCAGCGACGAATATGATGTTCTTGTTAGCGATTGCCATTTCTATGGAGCTGCTCTCTAGCTGTTCACCTGTTCAAGCGAAAAGTGAATTGCGAATACGTCCAGCAAGCCCAGTGCCCAGTATTTATAACTGCACTGCAGTGCCATGCTGCCGGTCGTATTGCAAGCAAATCTCTCAGTTGGCTTATCAATAACGCTGACCGCGAAGCTGACGTTGGCGTCGACTTAGACGCCAGCTCGGGCAGAGCTGTTGGCGTTTTGTTTTGATTCGTTGCTTTTTGGTTCTTTTTTCTCCAAAGTCAAAGCAAATCATGCCGGTTTTACGTATTCCATGTGCTTTATTTAGACTCGGAGCATTTTTTGGTTTTATTTTGCCTTTGTCTAAACGCTCGTGTCTTCGCGTGTTTGCGTTTATGTGTAGAAATCTTAAATTAAATTCTACATACTACGCAGCTACGCAGAGTACACATCATGCGCCGCCTCCCTGAACTAGTTTATTTATAATACAACTAGAATTAGAAATGAGATATTCTCAACTGTGCTATACCCTGTTATCTAAATTACATGATAATGCAATTGTCAAACTTTTTTATCGAAATAAATATATATTTTCTTCCATATCAAGTAACCAATTATATATAAATAGCATCAATACTCCAAGTTGTTAAATACTGAACAAAAAGCTAAAGAATGTATGAATTATGTAGATGGTTTTGATCTACTTTATCAGACTGAATATTATAGAGTAAATGAGGAGATAATGCAGGAAACCAGTTTTCAATAAGTTTTGAATAAGAGTATAGCTATATAAACCAAACCAGGGTATACTTCTGCAACTATTTGCTTATTTTATTAACTTTTCACAAAGTGAATTATCATATGGCGCAAATAATACTAAAGACTTTATATTCAAAACGATGGCAGTTCTGTTCTATGTTTAGATTCTATTTCGCATATATTACTTAGAACTAACTGATTGGATGCATAGAGGTTGCAGCATACTCGAAGATTGAGCTTATCACAGAACTAAAAAAAATCATAAAGATTTTATTTAAAAAAGTTGAAAAACAAGAAATTTGAATGAGTATTTTTAGGAATCGTATCATATTTATGAAAACAAAATTCTTTTCCGACGCAGCAAACGCCATATGGAAAGTTTGTATACCCAATTGAGATATTAGACTTTGCAATTTCATAAATTAAGCGAGTATATTTATTTCACTTGAAAAATATCTAATCTGTTTTTAGCCTTATACTTAAACTTAAAATTTAGTTGACTTTCGGTGAATCTGATCTGTCGGCCACAAACTTCTGAGTTTCGAGACTTGAGCAATTATATGTGGGAGTCCCAGTGCTTGGTCCATTTGATGGTGTCCAGGCGACCCAAGTCCAGTTTCCATATGACTCCATTCTTGTTTTCTTTGATTGCTTTCACAAAGCTCTTGGCGCACTGCTTAGTCGTCTGAGTGGGATGCGCCAGAAGCAACTGGGCCACACAAGGCTCCACATCCAGCCACGAGTTAAACTTGTTGACCAGAGTTGTCTTCGTGATGCCAGGGTTGATGGAATAGGCAGTTACGCCAGTAATCGGAGTCAGTTTCTATATTGGGGAATGAAATTTGGACAATCGTTGCACACTTTATTAAATCGATAGGCTCATCACTTACAGCCAGCGACATGGTGAAGCTGAGGGCAGCTGCCTTGGATGCGGAGTACACAGGCACCTGGTAGATGGCATTGCAGCCTGTCACCGAGCAGATGTTCGCAATGACACCGCCTGGGCCACCCTGGCGCTTGTCCCAGAAGGGCATGATGGCCGTGGTGGTGTTCACTGTGCCTGTGAAGTTCACTGCAATGGTTCCTTCGATCTGGTGGTCATCCAGGATGCCAGCTCCATTGATGAGCAGATCGACTGTCTTCAGCTGGCCGAAGATTGTCTTCATCAGCTTTACGGACTCCTCTAATGGAACGGTTACATCATAGGGGTGGAACGTTACTTTTGTTTTTGGGTTCATGCCACTTAGTTCTTCAATAGCCTCTGGCTTCTCAAGTCGATCAAGGATAACCAGGTTCTATGGAACAATTTGTAATTTGTTTTGAAAGATCTATTATGCAGACACACAGCCTTACCTTTGGTCCGCTCTTGACAATCTCCCGACTGGTGTCCATTCCAATGCAACCCAGGCCGGCGACGAAAATGATATTCTTGCCGGCGATTGCATCTTTGCCGCCGCCCTGTGCAGGGTAAAAGTGAAATGCATGTTAGGATCTCGAATAGTCTTACTATTTTCCTGTTATTGATAATCGTACTGTCACGCTGCCGGTATTACCGGAAAATCTTTAAGCTAACTTTTTAATAACGCCGGCAGCGTAGTCGACGTTGACGTTGGCGTTGCCGTCGACATCGACGTCGTCTTAGACGCCAACTCGGGCAGCGCCTTAAATAGTTACATATCCAAGTCTTTAAGTCGTGGATGCGGTGGATGTCGAGGTCGATGTCTAAGTAATGAAATGCTCTGCTGTAAATATGGGAGAACAAATAGGCGATATGCAGCAGTAGAGAGCGATACACACATACACATAAGCACACATATATGGAAACATCGAGCACTGTGCGATAGTTGACTGAAGAGAGGGAGAACGCAGTTTGCAGTTCGCAGCTAGCAGCTGGAGAGGAGATTTAACCTTCACTGAATGTCAAAGCAATCGACGTAGTCAAGAACTTTGTTATTTTTGTTGTGGTCGCAAATTGAGCATCAGCTGATTTGCATCTAGTGAGTAGCGCGTCGCTAAAAAGGGGCGTGGGCACTGAAAAAATTATCATGCTGGAGCCAACAAGTACCTAACACGTAGCCCATGCCAGAAATAGCCAATCCCACATAATTTACGAAACATTTTTTTAAGTGGAATGTCAACAATTCGTTCATACGGCATTCATGCTCCGACTATATATCATATTAATTAAGTCTATTTACTGTAAGCATACACTCTATATATGATGTATATGGACCACTTGAGCAGTTCTGTATTTACATTCACGTCTAATTATATACACATTCTGGTTAGACATGTTTGTTTTGCCTTAGCCGCAAGCCGCAATTTACCCGATTGTTGCATGGGGGTATGAACATCTATTGTGTACATAGAAAATATTAATATATTCTACTTTAAGGGCTGGGCGCTAATCGACGTTGATGAGCATGCGAATTATCATGTAAACACATTATCATATGAGTGTATATATTTAAGAGCTCTTATATTTAAAAATAAAAAAAACCCTGGGGCCGGCGATTAAACAAAAATCGTTAGCCAAGCTCAATTGTTCTTAAAGCCACTCAAACCTTGTCACATATCTATTTACACAAAATGAATATACCCCATCATGGGCTACGAGTTCTAGGTATAAGAAAAATGAATGTATCTAGTTATCTGGCAGATTGCCAAGCACACGTGTCGACGGCATATGTTGCTCAGAGTTTACTTAGCCAACTAGGGATTTTTCCAACATTAGGCGAAGTGAAAGTAGTCTACCTGAGCAGCCTTAAGTCCGTAATAAAAATTTTATTTGCTTTCTTTATGACCTTTACAGAATTGTCTGTCATCGTGTTGTAACAAAAATCTGTAATTAATTTGTTATAGATGATCTTTGAATGACCGTTTTACTAATTGGCAGATTGTGTTGCCACAGTGCAGACCCTTAAGCACCGCGAACGTCTGCTGATAAGGTGTCGTCTCTTATCAGACAACCACAAGTCCGGCCTATCAGTTGAGTAAATGTCACTATCAGTCGAGCTCTATTTTTATGTTTTATGTGTGTTACCTAGCAGTCTAGGCCTGCGAGCGATACTAACCCATTATTTCGTTATACACTTTGAAAAAATGTAGCTTAAGTTGTATGAACAAGCCCTTACAATGCATTTATTTTTTTTCTAGATTATTCTATTTACATTCTAAATAGGAACAATTTTATTTTTTAGGGGAAAAATTATATTTTCAGTAGATTTGAATTTTGTTTAGGGTAAAGACTACTAATTATATTACTGTCAATATATGTATATTTGTAACTATATATATACTAAGTATAATTCATAGTATACATATATTATGCATATACATGCATGAATCAGTTTATCTCATACATATTTATCTGTTATACAATTATTATATTATTAAATATATTGCTAGATATAGGAATTAATCCGTCAATGACCTCATTATAAAATATATTGATGAAAATTTATCGCTCTTGTAATTTCGTTTGTCCCTGTCAGCCTATGTTAAAGTCTGTCTACCAATCAGTCTGTCAGCAGTCAATCATTCAATCAGATCACTCAGTCAGCTGCCGCTGTACGTTTACAAATAATTATTTAAAAACAGAACACGAGGCAAAAAAAATGATGATCATCTATTTCAAGAACTTTCTATCAATGAAAAACTTTCGATTTATAGTTTGAAATTCGCTCTGAGCTGAACTGAACTGATAGCAATAGCTGACAAATAACTTATAGACACACTCACATAGTTAGTTATACGAAATGAATTTTGAATAAGAGACCAACTAAACCGAAGTTGCTGCTCCGCATGTGTGCCTGGCCGCACCTTATCCATAATTTAGCACAATAGCTATCTGTGCAGTTAATGGGCGAAGCGGGCAACTTTAATAAAAGTGTAATAAACTGTTGGGCCTCGCACATGGGATGCAACATTTCAACGTCATCGCTGCTGAGGCCTGGGCTTAATTTGCTTTGACTTTTAGCAATTTACATAAATATCAGCCCCACAATAAATATCACCAGGGCCAGTCCTCGAGCACTGGGTCTGCGGGTATACAGTATCCAGTATCCAGTATCCAGTATCCCAGGCTGTGCATTTGTTATGATTTCTGCATTCATCTGCGCCAAGCAACAATAACAATCAGAACCTGTATATAGATGCATGCAATGCCATTGCATGGGCTAGTCATTTATTTATTTATTTTTTTTTTTTTTTGGGGATGATGACGGCAGCTGGAGCTGAGGCGAGGCGACATATGAAAGAATTATGAGTCCTTCGCCTAAAAAAAAAAAGGGGGCGTTGTAGTCACATCCAATGGCAATAATTTACCATCACCACCTCTCGTAGGCAGACGAAAGCCCGAAAATGCTAAAATTCTAAAATGGTAATGATCTGACAAGGCACGAGCCACAGGGCCAATCGTCTGATATGTAAATATATCACCGAAACAAATATGGTAGTGCCGTTCTCTAGTGTGTGTTGATTCATTCGAGAGCCTCTCAGTGGATCGTCAACTGAGAACCAGACTCAACAGTGTGTTGATTAGCAATTAAGAGATTAGGCTAATATTGAGCTCATATTATATTCATATATTATTTTATTTATTATTTTTACTTTCAGCGTGTAGAATGGGGGGGTTGATTCTTATTGAATTGCCGACTCTTGATGAGGTTAAATAACAAATTAAAATGATCTTTCTTTTTTTTTTTCTTTTACAGCGTTGGCAAAGACGATGGTTTGTCCTCTACGATGATGGAGAACTGACTTATTCAGTGGATGATTATGTGAGTATATGTTGTATATTATACTTTATAGACTATGCCTAGATTACGTTTCAGATATTTATACATTGCCAGTCAGTCATCCAGCTGATAAGCTGTGATTTCAGCTCTCAGAACTGTCGATTTTGACGAGAAGCTTTGAAATAATATGTGCTTACAGTATTCATTATAAGATTGTTTCTCTAATAACAGAGGAAGTTACCTATAGACAATAATAGGCTGAGCTCTATACTATATAAGATATTCCCTAAATATATATATATCATATAACCCATATATGCTATATCCTTCCCATGCGAATGAGAAAATAGAGCTTTTGTTTCGGACTGGCAGAGTCATAGAGAATCTTCACAAAGGTTATTGATATGATACATATGTATATGCGAAAGAATATTGTGGTATACCTGATCCAAATATCTCTAGAATGGATTGCAGTTAAAAAGGAAATTCTATCTAAACTCCTTTCGCCTTCTATTTTGCAGCCCGAGACGATACCACAGGCTTGCATCGATATGACCAAAGTGCTCGAAGTAAGCAGCGCCGAGGAGGTTACCGGCCATCCAAACTCCATTGCCATAACGGCGCAGGATCGCGTCACCTTTGTCAAGGGCATCAGCCCGGACGAGTCGCAGTGGTGGCTCAATATACTGACAGCCTTTCCCAAATCAAAGGGCCGGCACAAGCGCAGCACCACGCTGCCGGGCGGCCAAATCAGTTGTCTGCGTCAGTCCTCGAACGTGGACATGGCGATCAAGTTGGGCAACCGCCATAGCTCCTATCACAAGGATACCCTAACGTCTTCCCAATCGGCCGGCAATCTGCTGTGTAATCTCGAGGACAGCAGCTCCACGAATAACGTTGGCCTAACAGTCAGTGCGATGGCCAATGATGATGCCGACGATGGCGTCGAGACGGGTGAGGATGAGGAGGACGAAGACGAGAATCGGGAGCGACAGGTGTCAACGTCGAGGAAAACAAAAGCAACGTCTCCATCCAGCTGCCATGGCGGACAGGATGAGAACAATCGCAATGCGGGCAATGAAATCACAAATCGTGGTAAGCTCTATTTGAAGATGAATTGAATGCGAATCAATATCATCATATCATATCAAATATTGACAGTCAACCTGATGTCGTCTTTGGTGAATAATATATTTCATAAATTGAAAATGAAAATCAGAAGTCAAATCTATTTAAGAGATGGAAATGAAGTGGTCTTTGAACTATAATATATCTTAAAATATTTTAAATTAAAACCAGAAATGTATAGGAAAATTTATTAATTAATATTAATATAGTTAAAGTCAGATGTGGTTAGAGCCCCTCATTTTACCAAGTTAAGGCAAAATCAAGAATTTATTTATAATTCTGTTCTAGAAAAAAGACAGAGATGAGAGAAGAATTATAGGGTACGTCTATCCTAATTCGAATTTATCTTACATTATATGTATTTCAATGCCGATTTCTACTTTATTTTGCAAACACTGAAGCTTCAAGTTTGAACCGGTTCGAATCACAATTGGCTTGCCTTGCTCAATAAAAATTTGATTTGTAGCGAATTTAAAGTAACTGAACGACCACTGGTCAGCGCCTTAAGTACTCCCCATTTACTGTCAGACTTGATAAAGAAGAGTTCCCCTTGGAATTAAAATATGGCTTACCATAAACATATGCACATAT